GATATTGATCAGTGTATTTTTAAATGGATCACCCTTGGCTATCCTTAACACAACTTTATCTTCATCTATCAATAAATTGTTATTTGATTTTTTATATTCCCATATACCTATAATAGCATCTACCATAATAATTATAGGAATAGATATTACTGCAGTTTTAGTTGTCAAACTACTATCATCATTATTAGCATTAGCATTAGCATTAGCATTCTCAGAAGCAATACCATTTGGTGTACTATTATGATTTAGGATTTGGATCTTGTGTAGTGGTTTGATTAAACATTTTGAGATGATTCTGATTGATTCAATGTGGCAGTTAAAGTTATAGTTATTAGTGGTTTGCTGGATAATGACAGTGATGCTGTTGAAGATTATTGAGTTACTTATACTAAATACTGTGAATTTTTGTGTTACTGTAGGTTATTGATTTTCTTGTGAAGTTTGAATCACTGGCTGACTTTTTGGTGTGGTGTGTGTTTGAAGTTTTTGGAGTTATTAGAACTGGATCATCTAATGTTGTAGTATCTTTTGGTGTTATAGTAGGAGGTACAGGTTAAGTTACTTTAGGTGGTGGTTGTGTATTTACAGGTGTTGTGAGTGCAGTAGTAGCATCACCAGGATTCTTGTGCATTTATTCCAAAATTACAATTGCAATTAAATTGGGTATAAGTGTTGCTCTTAATATGAAATGAAGTAAAAAAATTGACATCAACATTGATACTGTTTCATTTCTATATAAATTAATCAACCACTTGTTTTATCTTAATCTTTTCTTTTTTTATATTTGGTTTTTTTTATATGATTTTATTTACCAGATAAATATCTTTAAATAAAAAAATACATGTATAATGTATAACGTATATATGTATGACGTGTGTGTTGTGTGAATATAGCTTTTCCAATTTATCTAAAAAAAATTTCTTAATAAAAAGAAAAGTATTATTATTTAACAATTAGTTATTTAAATGTTTATTTTGTTGAAAAAATATACATTGATAGCGTATATTTTTTTAAGTAATAAAATATATTATTATTAATGATAAACTTACCTTTGGAAGGAAATAAGGAAATTAATTTAAATTCATACCAAATTAAGTATATAACGTTGCACATAAG